CTGGCCTCCCCGTGGCTCCTCCGCCCTCCGCCCACGGGCTTTTCGCTAGGCCTGCGATTCCTCCGGCAGCCCCGTCCGTCCTCGTCCTCGCAAACCACCCGGCGGCCTCCAATTCCGACCCCTTCGCAACCGGCCCCGCCCGCTCGCCGCGCTCGGCTCCTCCCGGCCCGCCCGCCCGGCCCGCGCACTCGCGCACTCACGGTAGCAGCCCTGGCGCCAGTAGTGCGTGGGGAGGCAGCGGTCGACCCTGGGCCCCGCCCGCACCGCGCGCAGCCGGTCTCGTTGCAGCGGTCGTGCACGGAGCCGATCTGGTTGCAGTTACACTCTGGACGGGCACGGGCACGGGCAGGCGCGCGGTCAGGGCGACCTGTGGGCGCCGTCCGCACCGGCCCGACCCGCGGGTCCCTGCGTCACCCCGACGCTCCCCACACCGCGTCTGCGTGAGCGGGCGACCGGACTGCCTGGGCTGTGCAGACTACAGGGAAGACTCTGTAGGCTGTGTCCCTGGGTCGCCCTGAGGCTGTGTCCCTGGCTCGTCTGGACAGCGGGAGGGAGGCCCGATCCTCCAGCTGCAAAGAGCGAGCCAGGACTCTCACCCGGAGGTGCCGGTGCCGTCCTGGGGCCCTTTGCTGTGGCGGCGCGCACGCATGCGTGCGTGTGTCTGAGTGCAATGGTGGTGGGGAGGGGGATGGCCTCTCTGAGGCTTCTCTCCAGGAACCCCCACATCCCGGCAGTCCCCAATCCTACTCCTCCTCCCTCGCCCAGCTGGCTTCCTTGGGCCTCGGCTCTGAGGTCGCTCTGAGGTCGGGGACAAATGTCCTCTACTCTGGGAGTCCTGGAAGTCCAGGGAAGGGCCTGGGGATGGAGGTAGAAACACGGAGAAGAGGGGGCGCTGCGTGGGGGCACCCCACTGGGTTCCACAGGCTGCCCTGCGGCTGGCCTGTGCTTGGTTGGTGTGATTCCGTCGGATCCTTTAGAGTGGAGGGGATCCCACCCACAGCTCCTTCACAGCAGGTGTCCCCTGACAGCCTGCCTGGCGCTGCGGGAGGGCACCACGAGCCCAGGGTGCTGCCTGGTGGAGGGTGGCCTTGGGCTGAGTCCTGGCCTCTACTGGAGGCAGGCTGGCGGCTGTGGGCTGGAGGTCATGGATTTGGGGACTGTCTGTCCCCTGCGCAGGCCCCATGGATCTCCCCCTTCTCTCCCACTGAACCAGTCTGGAACTTTCTGGGAAGAAAGCTGCCCAGGTGCCTGCAAGGGGCGCTGGACCTCTGCTTACAAAGCACTTGCAGGAAAGTCTTAGTAGCAGATGGGCTGAACACCCTCGCTCTGGGCCACCTCTGAGTTTTATGAATGGGGAAACCAAGGCCCAGAGAGGGGGAGGAACTTGCCCAAAAGCACACAGCAGGGCAAGTTCTAGAGCCCGGCCTTGGACTCGAGTAGTGGTTCTGCAACTCCAGTGCTTTCAAGGGTGCAGCGCTGGGGGCCGCAAGGGGAGGTTATTAATGGGGAGGTTTTGAGGGGTCTTAGAGATGCCTGCTGGAGTGGGCCTGGAGGTGGAAGTCCCACACCCCCCAGGGGACCCCAGAGCCCACCGACACCACCACGCGCCCACGCCGCCGGCGCCTCACCGATGCAGACGTTCTCGTCGTCCAGCTCGGCCGAGCCGTTGCGGTAGTAGCCCAGGCGGCAGTGCTGGCAGTGCTGGCCCCGCGTGTTGTGCTTGCAGCTGACGCAGGTCACCACGTTCAGGAAGTCGATGTAGCTACAGCGGTTGGAGTGGCCGTAGCACTCGCAGTCTGGGCCGGGCGGAGAAAGACCCCTGGTCAGCGGCATTCAGGGGGCTGAGGACAGTGAGGGAACACCCACCCCCAGGCGTGCAGGGAGGGTTCACGGGCCTCTGACCTTCCTGCTACACTTGGCGAGATGGGTCTGCCAGCTAGCGCCCTGAGAACCCATGACGGCAGCCCCCCAGCTCCCACTTGGCACGGTGGGCAGAGAGCCAGGGGCGCCGGTGGGCAGCCCCTGGCCGGGGCGAGGGGCTCTGAAGGATGCCCGTGGGACAGGGTGATTAGAAAGCGATTCGTGCAATGAGAATGGGGTTATGCCACCGGACAGTGCGTGTGGGCCAGGCAGTGCCGGCTTCCCGACGCTCTCCATGTTGGGCAATCCCACGGATGGATGAAAGCATGCATGGATGCCAGACTGGACACACCAGGAGCTTCCTCCTGCTGCTTTGGAAGATGGCTGCAGGAAAAACCTCCCACCTACCCACGGGGCCCTTTCTAATTCCCCGAGCTCCCTGCAAATCCGCTTGTTTGGAAGGCCCCCGAGAGTGAACGTCACAGTTGCTGGCTCCTAGGAGTCTCTTTGCCTCCCCTGACCCTGGCCAGGAAGCTTCTGCCCTCACTGTTTCTGGGGGCACGTCGCCCCATACTGAGGACAGCCCTTCCCACCCTGTCCCATTGTCCCACTGCCTCCTCTGCCCCCATGCCTGCGTGGTTCTCAGGCTGAGCCCTGCCCGATCTGCTCTGCACATCAGACTGGCCAAGCTCCCTGACCACAGGGGGCAGGACCAGCAGGAAACGGACACAGCATCACGCAGTGGGGTTTGGTGAGGAGGG